CATCCATGTGCCAAGTTTCATCAAAATCCAATGAGTGGTTCTTCATATATCAGTGGAACAGTCATGGAACAGCTAAAAATCAGCTAATTATCATGAAAATTAGGTAATTAATATTCATAGATTTTTACCAAAACCTAATCAACTCTGCGCATTATCCCAGAGCATCTATGTACCAAGTTTTACCAAAATTTGATTAGTGGTTCTTGAGATAACGGTGGAACAAAAAAAGTGACATACATACATACAGACATACGGACATACGGACATACAGACATACAGACATACAGACAGGGTAACTGCAAAGACTCCCTTTTGTGCTTCGCACACGGAAGTCAATCAGGTTGTTTAAACCTGTGCACTTAGGTATATTTGTTTTAATAGCTAATAGTCATACCCAAAATGGTACAATGCATAATACCTGGAATCAAACAGAGGTATATTGGTAAGGCTACAAAGCATGGAGGTGTACTATGGGTGCATACAATCAAACCTCTCGGAAGTAGTTGTGCAGCAAGTTAGCAAACTTGTGCAATGAAACCAGCCTGCAAAATATACTGTAGATTTAAATTTAGATTAACGGGTTAATAGTGCAGGACACAAACTAGTTAACAGTCAAGTCCATACATGTGTGCTCTCTGTAAGACTGGTTGTTTAACCAGGTATTGACAATATGTAAATTACATCAATATAAGCCGATTACATGGTTAATCAAGAAACAAACTCAAATTCAGGATCCTACCTGGTGTGCCGAGATATATTTGTTGAGCTAATCATCATATCTACGGCACTTGTAGGTTTATCACGATGCATACATACAAAACCTCCCACTCTCTGAATTATTCGGGTAAAATAAACAAGAGAGAGCACACACAGGTGATCGACCTGGAAACGCCACATTGGAAGATTTCTGCGCCGTTTTAATGGTGTATCTATCGCCATTGAATATTTTTGGAATAATTTTAGTGTATTTGGTGTCCAGACACATTGTCAGCTGGTGTTGCTGAGAGGTTTTCATGCAGAAAAATATATTTGAGAAAGATTTCATATTGTATGGCAGCACAGAAGTGCGTGGCTCTAGAAATATATTTATGACTTGAAAGTTCAATCATCAATTCAGTTAGAGGGCGCCAGCCAGGAGTATCAGGGCGCTGCGCCCCTGTTCCCCGGTTTAGAAAAAACCCTGGGGTAGCAACTTAGCTGAAGTGGCTAACTGACTAGACAGATGCAGATAATCTACCAGACAAGCGGGTCTGCACCCATTCCAGATCAATCCATATTACAGCAGGAATGAACATTTGCGATCATACCCAAGTCTTTAAAACTATTATTTTAAACTTGCATGAAAACATCATAAATTTCAGAAAATATAAATTTTTTTAGAGAAAACTTAATTTTTAATATCATATCTGTCTTTAAAATAAAACAGTCAAAGTTATAAAGTATCCACTGCTCTTCTGTTGCCAGAAATTGGTTAATTTATTAAGGAAAAATTGTTGTATTATTCAAAGGTCACCAAGACAGCACCTGATAAATAAAGGGTGCCAATCTGAACTGAAATGGTTCTACCTCTAAAAAAAATATATTTTCCACACAAAATTTGAGGGTAACATTTTTATAATTTTTTTTCTATAATTTGTTTGTTTTATACCAAATGAAAATAATTTCTTATTTGCTGCAGATCCTGATCAAAATATATGTAGCTCTGATTTGCAAAAAAAGAGAAAAGCTGATTTTGATTTTCAAATGATTAGTTCTTGAGATATCGATGGAAAAGAAATGACTAATTAATATGCAAATTGGGTAATCAATATGCATAGATATACACCAAAACTAATCAGATGTGTGCATTGATTTAGAGCATTTATGTTCCAAGTTTCATTGAAATGTGATTAATACTGGAGATATTGGTGGAAAAGCAAAAAATTGACTATTTAATATGCAAATTACGTAATTAATATGTACAGATTTACAAAACTAATCAGGTATGTGCATTGTCCTAGAAAATTTATGTATCAAGTGTCATTGAAATCTGATGATTAATAATTGACTAATAATTATGTAAAACATAGGATTAATATGCAGATTATTACCTAAACCTAATCCAGTTTGCACATTGTACCAGAGCACCTACATGTATGTACCATATTTCATTGAAACTAAACAAACTACCACAAAGGATACCTGCAAAAACTCGACTTTGTGAGCTTCGCACACAGGTGTTAAAAATGTCACAGAATGCGAAGCTAACAAAGACGAGTTATAATATGTTATGTTATGTTATACTATTTTATATTCTGTTCTATTATCAAGGTTCTATTATCAGAATTTTTTTTTCAATCAAGAAATTCTATGAAACTAGTTATTTTTCTGGCCTGGCCTTCAATGTGCATGTAAGCACGTAGGTTATTTTTATGTAAGGGTTATGTACTTTTAATGAAGGATAAGATGTTTCACAAATCATGGTTTTCCACCGACACAGACATTATTACAAGAATCAATACATAATTGCATAAAGTGTGTATTACTTCTCTGTGGCATAGTGTAGTAACCACCGCAATGTTTACTATAGAAATAGCATTAGTAGAATGTACAATGAATCTACCTAAATGTATGTACAGCAGAAAATATTGAGTAATCACAAACATGCATGTACTGTAAAGGGCTTAATTATTCACTGGGTTTTAATTTTGCTTATTTCGCTGACGGGAAAAATGTGCTGAATTAAAACCCAGTGAATATGTAAAATTTAGCATAGAACACATTAGCTAAATGATAAAACAGTGAATTTAAAACCTACTGAATATGCCTGAAATGATAAATCAGCGAAATTTAAACCCAGTGAAAATTAGTCATTTTACAGTACAAGGCAATATTTAGGACAGACAAACCAAACAAATGAACAGGAAAACATTGATGAGAGAGTAGCATCATGACATGGACGGCAATATTCAGAACAGTTAAGATCTGTAGCCAAAAATCTGTTTGGTCTAAAATCAAATAAGAAATTGTAAAAAAATAGGCAAAAATGAAAGCAAAATTTTTTTACAAGTGGTTAACAGAATTAATTGTACATCCCAGTTTTCAAAAACGTTTTTACTCATGAATTTAGAATTACTGGTAGCCAACTGCAAACTATGTATACTTGACTGCAATTAGAGAAAATGTAAAGAGAATCTAATAAAACAATGTTCTGGTGACAAATTAGCTCAATTCCTCTGTGAAAGTGAAGCTCATGCATTCAGGCTACGCTAATGTATAGTTACTGACATTGTCTGCACTGGGGACACATTTTTTTCTTATCATTAAATTGAATGAATTTGTTTAAGCTTTTTTCTGCATTACCATATATCATTTTCATTAACAATAAAACATGGAGAGAGAAAAAAAATTATAATATATAAGTGAAGTGACCAAATTTAATATTGATGCCACCAGTGTCCATTTTTTGAAGACTCTCCATTAACATAATTTAAATCCAATGCAGATCAGATTTCAAAATCATCCAGTAACATATTGACTCTGACGACAGAATTATTTGCGAACATTTCCCCCAAAATTTGGTTTGTGAGACTGTTCTTTTTAATAATTTTCTTCTGCCTAGTACTGACACAAGGAAGACTACAAACAAATGTTTAAGTATTAAACGATCACACCATGAGAAAATTGTAAACCAAATAATTTGTTGTAATGTTCCAACCCCTGCATAACCAGACAATGAATAAATATAAAGAGATATCAGAAGTTCTTTTTTTACTTTTTATTTTGTAACGCTACCAACGATGAATCGTAAAATATTCATAGTGGACATCATACAACGAGATAAAATGTAGAGCTCATAGACCTTCTCATTACCATTGGAGACACACCGAGATAAAATGAATAGCTTGCAATCTAGAAACACGTCTCATATTACAGAGCATTTTATATAAATATGTATTTTCACACAGAAAACTACAAACATTTGCTATCTCCCACACAGATTAAGCTCTATAATATCAGAGCTTCCAATTATCTACTGATAGTGAATGCAGAACCATGCCAACGTAAGGACATAGAGAGTGATATGATAGGCATATATCAACCAAACACATATACATGTATAAGCACTCAACGTAAACGGAAACACTAAATATTGAGAAAAAAAACATTATTATAAATACATGTATATTTTATCCCAAATTAAAAAAAAAATTAATATAAAATTATTTATAATAAATACACATTAACGTTTCTTTAACAATTAAAAAAAAATATAGATTGTACATCTGCTTCAAATCATGATAAAATATTCTGCCGAAAGAAAACCGCTAACGCTGCATTTATGATGACACACGGGTATACAATAAAGAAAAATGAAAGGCTTACCATACGTATACATTACTGGCATCATACATACAGAATACTGGTAGTGCTGTATATATGGGATGTGGGACTCAGTAGAAGTGATGACAAAGTTTGGTGATTTTAACTGATGCGAGGTTTTCAGGTGAAATGCCTGGTATATTTAAATGAACGGACCATGTACTCAGCCATTCAAACGCTCCAGCTGTTTAAGGTAATGGCAGGGGTGGACTACCTAGGTTAGTCTGAATAATTGTAAGTGCCCTGCAGTCTTGTGAGATATTTCAAACGGCCCCTGGATCCCTGTGCTGCAGACTATTAAGGCTGAGGTCACGTGTAAATCATCCAACTAATTACTGTCTTTCTGTAATATTTTTTTCATTATTATTTTTCTAATTCCCTTAAGCTCATCAAGACACTATCAGCAAGCCAAATTTGACTTCATATGTTATGTCATGTAGTCCCCATCATTATAATTGTGCTACTTAAGTGAAAAGCCTACTCATAAATTAAAAAACCCAGAATTTATTCATTTTGAATAAATGAATATATAGGGGGGAAAAGTTGGGGGGGGGGGCGTGATTATTAATGGTTGTATTTAAAGTGGATACATGTATTGGCAGTATTATAACACCTTTACCATAGGTTCCTATGGCAACATATGCCATGTTATATCTCAAATTGTAGGCTTGTGACAGATAAAAATCATACATGATGGGGTACTTTTTGTTGTCTTCAATTATTTAAAAAATCTGGGTTTTAAAAAGTGTCAAAATATGCAATTCTATAAAATAGTTCTAAAAATAGTGATTTCTAAAAATATTTGGGCAAGTTAATCAAAAAAATGTCACAAAAAATTGCTCTTTCATTGTGCCACGAGACAATAGCTCCATGATTGTACACAATAAACCAATAAACATTGTCATGCGATTTATGACCAACTTTTTTCAAAAAATTATGAGGAAGCTTTTACCTGGAGAAAGCTCTACTAAGAACTCAGATTGGAAGCATACTAGTGTACACATCACCCACACCTTGCCCTTTGCCAGCAGGCAAGTTATAAAATCAAAATTTATAAATATACATACAACATTTTATTTTAAGCCTTCCACCAACCTTGTCAACTGAAATCACAATTGTAAAACATTTTGAAAATCAGTTGTGAATGAGAATCAAAATGCATTCTCAATCCGCAGAAAAACATGCAACTTTCACTTCCACATTTGTATAGTGGTTGCAAATGGCTTTTATGCAAGTTAGGTTATTTAAGGCTCATACACTGAAAATACTTTATTTTAGCTAGAATTAATTTTCACTGAGAAAACATTTTGGCTGTTTTGTATGGAGTTTATTTTCACTATTTTTACTGAAGGGAAAACCTCAGTGAAAATAAAGTACATTACCGTATATCAGAGTACACTATGAAGTTGAGTTGGAAAATTTGATAATTTAAGACCACTTTAACATTTATGTTTGATGAGTTTTTTAAATTACTAAATAACCAATGTGAGAAATTAATATCTAAAGTTTACTATAAAAATACACTTATAGAGAGACAATAGATTAGCCACTAACTTAGCAACGTCGTAAAACAACATCTACTTGTACAAAAATTGTGAAATTAGTCAACTTGAAGCTGTCATTTAGTCAATAGATTAGCATTAACGATCTACAAATTTATTACAACATTATTATAACTAAATACGACGCCATTTGCCATAATTTAGACTGCAAAATTTGTGCCATAAAAACAATTTTCTGCAATATGGAAGGGTTTAAATAAACTCATCCTTTGTCACATCCATGAAACATCAATCTTGCAACCAAGGCAACACTGGTTGCCTGGGGCAACACAAATCCTGACCTCCAATAACCCTGATTTAAGGTAATGAATTGTAGAGTAAACTGAGATATACATGTCCATCTATAACCTTGATAGAAGAGCATTATTATACTGCACAATGAGGAGTGTAGTGACGACAATTCTCATCAATTCAGCTCAACACATGACTCAGGGCAGTAACTAGGCTAGCGGTTCAACACAAGTTCAACACACCAGCATATAAAAGTATTTAACTACAGAGTAACCTTGAAATGAATAAATTTATTATGACTACACAGCACGGTCTATAAATTTTTATAATTGAATGTTTATTAAGTTATTGTGTATGCAAAGTAGAGAGCAATAAATTCTATAAGCTCTGATGTCTGAAATGGTATTCAATGATTTCAAGGGTACATTAAACTGGGGGCATACAAGAGCTATATCATATGTACCAGATATACACCAAACCGCACAACACTTAACACTTTTCATGTTCCTACAGATATGTTATGTATATAAACATGGCAAGAATTTACTGAAAGGTTAGTGGTGGAGGAGGTAGTGGTGGAGGGGGTGGTGGTGTTGGGGTTGAGTTTATTGTCAATGTCTTCATATTGGCATAAGTACTATACCACAAATATGGAGACAAATGTCTGCGCATAAGTACATACATGTAACTTTGAAATTTAAAAGTCTTTGAATGAGACTTTCAAATATTTTCTACCAACAGTACCACTATGATGCAGGAAGTGACAGGTGTTTGTGTATCCATTTTGAGAGTTTTTTTTCAAAAAAACATATATATCGCATGTTGTTGCAAAAACTACATGTGATCGTGAATTTTTGCCATGAAAAATATTTCATGTTTTGGACTACAGTGTACATGACAGTGCTGATATGTGATCATATTTCTATAATGACATTAAAGCAATTTAATGCAATATCACAGTATCAGGTCCTGAGGAAAAATTAATCTAGGTCTATAATCAGGATTCTCCTAAAGTCACACCTATTAGTGAATAAAGCTGTGGCTTCATTGAGTCAGAATAGAGGTCAATCCTAACATTAGGGTTCAAAGCGAGCAACCAGCGAAATAACTACTACGCTTCCGACAATCCATATGGTGTATTACAAAAATCAAAGATGATATCATTCAAATTTACATGACGATACACGAGTATAAACCCAATGCTGACCTGTACTAAGAGTACGCTACATCTAGGCATTGTAATAACGTGACTCAAGTCACGTAGTATCAAGTAAATGACCAGCTGTTTCAGGTCTATCAGTTTGCGTAACTAAAACGTGTGAACTAATTAATGATCTCTGTTAACTTTTCTAAATAAAATATATATAAAAATACAATTTTTAATTGATCAACTACGACTCAATTAAAAAAAAAATAGTGTTAAACTCTTAAAAGAGATTCTTACCCTTAAGAAATTTAATTAATAATTTATTTGCCCGGAGTAATATCCAAATGGTGGGCATTGAGATTTCAGACTAGCATGAACACAAAGCAAACATCACTGATAGTCTTTAAAACTAATTAGAGTTGATGAGTCGATCCATTGCACGATGTATGTAAACCAAATCCTACCCTAGAGTATTGAAGAAATTATTTGAAATTTCAAAGACTCACAGCAAAAATACTTTTTTTTTGCAGCAGCAGCATGCCAACCCCTGGGAATACATTTAAAGGTGATGCCTTAATATGCAGATCGCCTGTACTGAGGATGTTCACCTTTTTGAAATTATAAAATCCTTCAGCGGACATTCACCCGCACGTTGTATCTGAAACTTCACATTAAAGAATTCCATCAGTAAATGGTTTTCAGGTGTAATTTTTTTATGTTTTATAAATTAAATATAACAATTTCAATCAATATTCTTGAGATCTATGATAATAAATTAATTGTTTTCCACAGAAACATTTTGACAGCTGTAAAATGATAATACTGTAAAATATCCACTAGATGCACATCTATCCTTTGTGTATCATTGCATGTTCTAACATGCCATGCACGGCACAGTCCCCGTTAGTTGTCAAATTTAAGATATGTAGTTTTGTTTATATTAATACATGTATAGTTGGAACATAAACAAGATCAAAAAGCTGATGCTTAATTACGATAATTTTTTAACATTAAAATGATTGACATTCAGTCATCTTGCATCTGATCGTCAAACATGTACTTGTCCATACAGTAATTAACAAGTAACAGATGAAGTGCAATGTCGCTGTGAAACGTGATTGCAATCAGACAAAGAATGTTGGAGACATTGCGAAAGAACAGCATTCATTATGAAATAGAATGGAATGGAGGAAATGCTTGATTTTGATGATTTTTTAAAAACTAAAACAGTCGCCATTCAGCCATCTTGAATCTGATCGTCAAACTATACTTATAAAATGCATATGTGCAACATGATGTAAATGCATGTATAACACTATTAACAACATTCATAATCAAAGAAAGCTTAGAAAGAACTCCCGTGTGCTGAGAGTTTTGGAGACACATTACAAATTAATTCAAAATTACTTATACTTGAGATATTGATGGAATAGCTGAAAACTAATTATGCAAATAAGGTAACTAATATGAACAGATTTAAGTGTAAAACTAATAAGGTCTGCACAATGTACCAAGTTTCATTGAAATGTGATTAGAACCAAAAAAATATTAATTATTATACTAATTAGAGAATTAATATGAACAGATTTTAACCCAAAATTAATCAGACTGTCTATTGTCCTAGAGAATTTATGTACCAAGTTTTATTCAAATGTGATGATCAATACTTGAGATATCAGTATTAAATAATTATGTTAATTAGGTGATTAAGTAGCATAAATATTTACCAAAAACTAATATGGTGCATAGTCTTAGGTTCATTGAAATGTGATGGGTACTATTTAAAAGTTTCATTGAAATCCAATGAGTGGTTTTTAGACATCATAGAACAGCAAAAAATTAACTAGTTATGCAAATTAGGTAATTAATAGGCACAATTTGAATTATTTATCCCAAAATTAATCAGGTCTCTGCATAGTCCTAGAATATCTATGTCGCAAGTCTCATTGAAATGTGATGATTAGTACTTAAGATATCAGGTGAAAAGCTGAAAATTAACTAATTATGCTAATAAGGTGATTAATATGCACAAATATTTACCCAAAAACTAATTAGGTCTCTGCACAGTCCTCAAGTACCAAGTACCAAGTTTCATTGAAACGTGATCATTACTACTCGAAATATCAAAAGCTGAAAATTAATTAATTATGCAAATTAG